AACGGGTCTTCTTGTGGTGAAAACATGGAGTTTTTGTAACTTTGCAGGCAGGTGAACCGCAAAAAGCCCGCAGACTCTGCACCCAGCTGTGTGCCGGACTCCGCTGCAGCAGGTCTGTACGCTGGATGTCCCAGCCCGGCCGTGGGAGCTGGACATACGTGTCCTGCAAGCTCAGGGGAGATCAGCTCAGCTGCACGGCACAAGGTTGGCGTGTGGTGGGACAACCCGGGCGTCCGTATCGGCTGTACCTTCTATCTCACAGCCATTCGCGTACTCAGAGTAGGCAGAGAGGGAGACAGAAAGAAAAAGTGGGGGAAATAGAAGAGGGAAGGGGTTTGTACATTGGATAAATGGAGCTTTGGAGGGAGAACTTGGGATCAGATAAGGGATGGAAAGCAGTGGGTGCTGGGGGGGGGGGGAAGAGTGGGAGCAGGATTTGGCAAAGGGCAGCCCGAGGTGTGACCCCCCTGTTGCAGCAGGAGCATCAGGCCCAGCTCTGGTCTACTGAGAGGTAGGAACCCAGCACAAAGCTTCAGTTTTGGAGGTAGAACAGCATAGACACAGTCAAAAGTGCATCTGGAAAGGAAAACCTTGCATGTAAACCTAAACAATTTGTGTTTGTTATCTTTGCAAAATAAACATTCTCCTGCGTTGGACTTTTTCCCCTGCTTACAAAGCACGCTGGATGTTTGATGAAGGACGGAGCAAGATCTTTCACCGGTCATTTGTGTGCAAAGCAGCAAGAATTCCTGGCTGAGGGTGTCCTGTCGCATACTGTTAGTTTAAAAAAATTGAATGACTATGGGTCAGAGTGAGTGGTGACATCTCAGGTCACTCCCCTGAGAGTCAGCAGTCTGCCAGACCCGAGGCAGGGCACGTATGGGGGGAACTGGGGGCAAAAAGGGCATTTCTTCTCCTTTGCAGTAAGGACGCCTGACCTCTGCACTTACACATCCCACGTGGTCCTGGTGACCTGCCTGGTAGGTGTTTGGTTTGAAGAAAGGACAGAGTTCTTGCAGCATGTCTCTAGGAGGTGCATCATCTATTTAATGCCTCTTGAACAAAAATAAGTCTCCTGGCAGGGGTTGTAGTATGGGAACTGAGTGCAAATCTTCATCTTAGAGCTTTTTGGTTAAAGGTCTTGACTCTTTAAGCCCCCAAGCTATTATGGATGTTACTGTTTCCTTTACAAATTTTCTCTACTTTTTGTTGAGGAATGCAAATTTTGGCGGTTCCATGGTGTCTCCCCTCATTCTCTGCCTTCTCCAAGACAACCTCAAATGAGGGTGGGGAGGAATGAATGGGAAAAGGAAGAGGAAGGGTTGCCTAAACATTTATGGAATGGGTCAGTGTGTGCATTGGGGAGGTTTGTATATATCTCGAGGTAACAAGGATGTGCTGATGTGTATGTTGCCTAACTCTGGCTGTGACACGCCATGCTTGAGCTGTTGGGACAGATGAGGTCTCTCATCCTGTGCAGTGATTTGGTATTACCCTCTCTCAAGATACTTGTGATGTTGGGGTTTGTTCTGTGCTGCCTGCTCTCAGCATGTCAATTCATTGAGCGATTCCAGCTTTCTTTCCCTCCCAGTGTTTGCCTGCGTGCCTGCAGCCCGACAGTCCTGACTGCTGACCGCTCTATCCTTGTGTCCGTGAAGCAGTAAATCAGCTCCAGTGGGATAAATAGAAATGCCGTGTGGGATTCCCCTTCTTTAAATAACCTGGTCTCCTTTTGCACGAGAGTTGGACTCTTAATATGAGGCAGATAAAGCCAAAAGCTGGCAAGGACTCTCCTCCCTGCCTTGAGAAGTAGTGCTCTCCTCTGGGGATGTATATGAGTTTGTTGATGAGCTTTTCCAGCACTCTCTGCGGCTCTTTCTGGGTCCAAGACAGAAAGATGTGTTCTCCACAGCCTGCTCAGCCCTTGGTTCCTCTGAAGGAAGCCGGTAAAAGGCTGTTCTCCATTTCATCTCTCTTCTGGGTCACCTTGGCATAAGCCGAGCTGGTTATGGAGCCCGTGATACCTGTTGCCCCTGGTGTGCTGAGCAGTGCCAGAGCAAGGGCAGGCACCGGTGTTCCCCAAGCTGCCACAGCTGGGTACCCATCGCTGCAAGGCTGCACTGGTGTCCAAAGAATGGGATGAGCTTGTGTCCAGCCGGCCAGCAGCACCTGACTGGGACAAAGGGACATGTCACCGGTAGGGAATTCTGTGGCTGCTTTCCATCTGGCATGTGCAGCCTTGCCCGGGGAGCACCACGCACATGTCCCCAGTAGATGGGCTGCTCCTGCAGAGGAGATCCCACTCAGGGTAAGAGGGCTTACGGATGCGTCCTTTGCCCCAGCGCTTATCCTTCAGTGCCCCGCTCAGAGCTGCTTCCAGGGAGAGGAGGTTGGGGGTAGGCGGAGCACACGACGCCAGGGAGAAGTGGATGTACAGACTCCATTTTGGGCGAATCGGCGCGAGCGCGCAGCCTTGCCCATCTGCTGGCTTTGGTGGTGTGCTGCCCCAGCGCAGCTGCAGAGCCCAGCCTGCTCTCGGCCACGTGGGTTCGTCCTGCTCTCCTCCTCGGTGCGTGTCTTTGCAAGGACTCGGCAGTGCCTTTCCCGTCCCGCTAACCGGGAGAACGGGATCAGCCCCCTTACACGGGCAAAGCTGGTGTGAATGCCGTGATGTTCCCTCACTCTCTCTTCATGTGTTCACGTTGTGGTGAGCTCTGCCAGGACTAACAGCCTATTCCACTCTCAGATGTGTTCGCAAGTGCTGGGACACCACAGGGTGCACGGGGATCCCCCTGAATTCGTGCCTGGAGGCTTGCACATGGTGTGACACAAACACCTGGGAGGCAGAAGGTGGTTTGCATGTGGGCGCATCCTCCCGGCCCAACAGCTGCAGTAAAAACCTACAGAGATATTCATATAAATTTCCTTTTTCTTTCTTTCTTGCTTGCTTTTTTTTTTTTTGGTTGTCTCGTTCCTCTCGCCTGATTTACTGCATGTGCTCACGTGGCCTTGGAAAAGGGGGGGGTTCTCAAACTGTTCTGCTTCCAAAAGGAAAAGAAGCTGGCAGGCGTTCGTATTTCAGTTCTCCAGTTATGTAGGTTAAAGTCTCCCAGTGGGAAAACGGAAGATATGAGCGAGCAGATTGCTGGTGGTGATACTCACGAGCAGGAAAACAGAAAAAAGGGAGCGTGTAATTTAAGAGCTACATCCAGGCGAATGTGAGCTGTGAGAGAGGTATGTTTTCTATCTGCTGTTAGAACCTAATTTCCATTGATTAGATTAAATTGGTGATGAAATGTCTCATTGTGTCTTAAGTAATAGTAGGAATGACTGGTTTAGAAGCAGATTTTAAGGCACCAGTGCGGAGACAGGAGCACGTTTGTCAATGAAACCTTGTTCCCAGTAATGTAGCTAAAATTAATTATGGTGTGGTCCATTAGGAATAAATCAGATATGTAACACTTTGTGTCTACTTCTGAGATTCCTGTTTCTGTAGGTTAAAGTGAGGGGTTCAGGACAGAAGAGTTAAGGGCGAAATGAGGCTCCAGCCCCGCTCCTGAATCTTTGTCCTCCCCAAACAAAAAGCTTTCCTCTGGTTTAAGACCTGTTTGATTGCAGAACGTGGGCTTGTGATCCAGTATTTGGGTCTTTAAATACCGGCACTCTGCAGGAATTTGCATTAATATTCTCCTATTGAATTTGCATTGGTGGGACAATCTAATTAAAATTAAATTCCTGCCAGTATATTCAAAGTAGCGTATTGCTTATTTTGCATTGAGCAAATGATAAGCTACAGTACACTAAACTGGTAACACAGAAAAATGTGTTTGAAACGATCAGTTGTCTTCTGTTAAAGGAGAAACCCAACTTTGCTGTCTTGTCTTGGTCAAAATTTCTGTTGTTTTTAGGGCCCCTTGAGAATTCTTAAATGCCTGGCTGGTTCTATAAGGACTTAACCTAAAAGAAATTGCCTTTCTATTATGGAAAATAAAATATTTGCATATGATGTCTTCTTTATTGACTATAAAGTCTTAAAGTTTGGAAAATGCCCTGCTCAGAGCGCAGACACGAGCTGTTGAACTGGTGCAAAGAGAGACCTGACCATTAAGTCTCCTATTTTAGCTGGTTTGTAGCTACGTTTTCCCCTACCGGAACCCAGTCCCGATCTTTCTAAATGAACGGCAAATACTCCTGTCAAATCCAACGCCTGCCAGGACTGAGTACTTGATTTTCTGTTGCTTGCATCTACATTGGAAATACTTCTTTTCTGATTAAAAGCTGGCATGAGGGCAGGAGAGGCAGATTTGCTTTGAGAAGGACTCTGACAGTAAATGACATTTTGGAAAGACCCTTCAGTGTCTTTAAATCCAGCACGGTGAATTAAAAAAAAAAAAACAACAAAACAACAAACCATAAAATTCAAAGCTTGCTTTCCTAATAGCCTTGTTAAAAAGCTGCTTTCATGCCTGTGTAGTCCCGGGAGACTCAGGTGTGATCCCCACTGGCGAGTGCTGCCTCTATGCATTATTTTAACCACACAGAGAGCCAGAAATAGTGTAAAAAAAGCTGCAAAAAGGATCACGAGGGGCTTCTGTGCTGTCTTTGGTCACAGAAGTCGCTGAAGTATCTCCGGCTCCTGAGTCAATAATCTTTCTGCTCTGCTGGCCACAGAAAGCACCATCTGTAACCACAGATAAGACTCAGCTGCTCGCTTCTCTGCCAGGCTAATTAAAAAGCGCTGTGACCTCCCTAGAGCTAATTGTGTCCTGTCAGTGGGATGGAGGAACGGAGGCCGGCAGGGTTGCCTGGTATTTCAGCGCTCAGCTTACGGACACAATTATAAACGGTTTTTATTTTACGGTGACTGTATGGTTCCAGAGCGAAGATGGCTGCAGGGTGCGTGTCTAACACACCGTTTCTCATCTGCAGGTGAGCGATGCGAGAGAAGTGCTGCTAGTGCATGAATTTCCCGCAGAACCTCCCTTTGCACCAGCACCAACATGCAGAGCAACTACTCCCCGGTCGTCACCACCAGAGAAACTCTCCAAGTCCCCTTTTCAGCAGCGACAAACTCGTCGACCACGTTGCGCTCGCCCCCTCCCTGCCCACTTACCTCTTCAGATTACCAGTTTTCACTAATTCCAGCGCTCTTCGCTGTGGTTTTTGTTCTGGGCTTGGTTGGCAACAGCATGGTGGTTGTGGTGCTTTGTCGTTACAGTGGCCCCAAAACAGTCGCTAATATCTACATTTTCAACCTGGCCGTGGCGGATCTGCTGTGCCTCACCACCCTTCCCTTCTGGGCTACCTACTACGCGCAGGGGTACAACTGGCTCTTCGGGTCTCTCATGTGCAAGATCTCCAGTTCTGTCCTGTGCTTGAACATGTTTGCAAGCATATTTTTCATTACGTGCATGAGCGTGGACCGGTACCACGCTATTGTCCATCCTATTCGCTCCCAGAGAAGAACTCCACAACAAGCATATTTTATAGCGTTGGTTCTGTGGGGCCTTGCCTGTTTGTCCTCCCTTCCAACGTTTTATTTCCGCGACACTCATGACATTGAAAGCTTGGGGGTCAACGCTTGCATCATGGCCTTTCCCCATGAGAATTATGCAAAGTGGTCTGTGGCAATGGCTTTCCTGAAAAATGCCCTCGGCTTCTTCATCCCCTTGCCGGTGATCACCACGTGCTACATCTGGATCAGGAGGCACTTGCTCAAAGCACGGGAGTTTGGGAAAAACAAGCAGAAGAGGGACAAAGTCCTAAAGCTGGTGGCTGCTGTTGTTGTGGCCTTCTTTGTTTCCTGGCTCCCGTTCCACATTTTAACATTTTTGGATGCCTTGGCTCGCATGAACGTCATTGACAGCTGTGACGTGACGGGGGTCATCGACATAGCGCTGCCATTCGCCATCTGCATGGCATTCGCCAACAGCTGCACCAACCCTTTGCTGTACTGCTTTATTGGGAACCAGTTCCAGGAGAAGCTCCACCGCTTGTTTAAGCGGCGAGTTTATCAGTTCAACAGCCATCGAGAGAGCTCTTCTCTGAGGAAAGGGAGCTGCTTCAGAGATGCTGAGACCCCCGTGGGCAGGGAAGAGGGGCCTGAGTCCTTGCTGTAGGCACTGGGCATGATGTGGGGTGATGTCAGGGCAGCTGGCTGTCCCTGCAGTGGTGACACTCCTCTTCCCTTTGGTTTGTGCCCATTCATTCACCAGCTGTTTGAAGGAGAATCTCTTTCCCATACATGGGGATTTATTCTTCCCTCTTTTCCACAATGAGCGCTCGAGTTTTACGTAGAGGGGACATTCTGGCAAATAAATATATTGATGGCATTTTAAGTATCATCTTGTGTGTGGCTGAGCTCAGGTGAGTCTTTAGTGTAACACAAAAAGACAAAACATATCAAAGGACCATTGTGCGATTGCTACAGTTGTGCAGGTGCTGAGCATTATGCCCTCAGCTGATTTTTCTAAAAGAGATTCTCACTAGAGAACGTGCAAATAAATCAGTGCAGATACTTCTGTATCTATCCATAAGAAAATATTTTGACTTTTATGTTATTTTTTTAAAAGTATATGGCTGGAGATGTATGTAAAGGGCATTAAATATACCTCCTGCTTGCTTAGGCTTGGGATCCTGAGAACGCGCGGAGACACGGTTCTGCAGACGGCTGGAGACAGGAGAGTATTCTTGGGGGGAAAGGACAACCGCATACATGTGTGTATACCTTTCTCATAGCAGGTAACAGGTTCGCAGGCCAGATGGTCCTTTGCTTCGATTCAGCGTGGTCATTTGTGACAGCAACGCCCCAGGAACCGAACACACTATGTCCCACTGCTACGTGGGCATGCTGTGTCCCACGCACTCTCCAGCAGCCTGCGGGGAAAGGACTTGCTGATTGCCAAGACTTTTTGCATTTACAATGTCGATGGCTACTGTAATTTTGGGGTACCTTGTACAGAAAGCCTAAGTGACTCTGTCTTGACACCCAGAAGCAAAACCATGGTGTGACTCCTCTTACCCACATCTCACTAAGGGCATTTACTCATTTGTAAATAAAAGAAAGAGGTGGGGAAAGGAAGTATTTGGCAAATACTGATTCTGTTTTGAGATTGGTTTTGATGATTCTTTGAAGTTTTCTTTTGCTGGAGATGTACTGGTCCTTTTGGACCCTTCCAAAAGGATCGTGTTGGACAGGCTCAATCTAAGCGAGGGATCTGTTCACACCTTGATCGAGTGCCAGCAGGATGTCCCCAGGCTGGGTGACGCAGGGTGACCGAAAGAGCTTCAGGGAATTCTTCCCTGATGAATTACTCTTGAGGCTTGCATTAGCGGTTTTGGGTCCATGGGTCAGAAATTACACCTGTCAGTTGGGTAACCGGGGGGTTGGCCGCCCTGAAGTCCCAGCGCTGGCAGGTGCCTGGAAGCCGTGGGAACCTGGTGTGGGAACCGTCCTTCGCTGTTGGGGTGGGGGTAAGTTTCTTCACTGGTGCCTGTGAAAATGGGATTACGCAAGAAATGTGCCAGTCTCCGAGTGATGCGAGTTGAAAAGTTTGCACAGAACTTGGCAGAACAGGGGCTTGGCCACAAATAACCTCTTCTCCCTGTCCTGGTCTGGTGTTGTGTCATGGGGTAGGTAGCTGGAGAGATGCTTGCCCCAGAAAGTGGAAGAGCATCTCCCCGGGAATGTTTTTGTTGAAAATGTTCCAAGGAGCTAATAGCGCCTGGGGCGTCGGATATTTCTGGAAGGACAAACTGTTAATTGCTTAGCAATGAGCACAACAACGCGGTCATGCTACAGCAAAACAAATCCTCATACTAAGAAAATAACCAGGTGTTCAACGTCGCAGGCTCAGAGGAGTAATAAGAGGTTGCAGAGGCTTTTTACTTTTGCTGCAACACAGGTCGGTAATGAACACAACTGTGCCATTAGTTGGCATTGTATTAGTCTCAAAAGTTAAATTACACTATCTGAGCCCAGTGGTACCCACGCCTCAGCTGTACCCGTCCTGAGCATGCGCACAGGCTGCGCATTTTCTACACATCAGTGTGGATCTGCTCAAAAATACAGTTTTTAACAAGTACTGTGCCTTCCGCCGGCTGCTACGCAGACAGGGAAACACTACAGGAATGTCAAATCCAGCTCCAGTCGCGTTTACACCTGCGAGGGGCTGATTCTGTGAGGAGAAAAATGAGGACAAAGCTCTCCCGAGGGGAGAGCAGCAATGCAGCATCTCTCACTGCTGCAGGGATTAACGACCGCCTGCCGGGGGCTGTGGCCCCCGCACTCAGTGATACCCTCCTACAAAGAGGGAAACAGAAAAGGAGTATTAAATGGGAGGCAAAACTGAGAGGGGAGGAAAATTTCTTCGTTCAAAATATAGTTTGAAAAGAAGTCTGCCCCGAAGGGCATATTCCGCAAGAGTGACAAACCGAGTGACCCTCTGAGCTCGGCGGTGCGACATTTCTGTTTTGCCAGATCTGCCCTGTACCTTGAATGGGTCACGAATTTGAGCAGCGTGGTTAAACAAACATCCAAAAAACGCTGGCTGGAGAGGAACCTGAGATGGAAGTGGGGGAGGCGCTGTATCAAGGGGTTTGCTTTATTTTTAGAGCAAATTGAATAACGTTGAGCTCTATGAATGTCTTCTATCACGCTCAAGTTTCTCATGGGATTTTTCAGCGATTTTTAATGGAAATGCGTTTTTTTTTCACAGTTTTGGTCTGCTGTGTTTATTTTTTTTTCAGGATTTTCTGCAAAAGAACACAGACAAAAATTTAAGTAGGTTTTTTTTTTTCTTCCTTGCGAATTTAGAAGCTATTTTTTGCTTTTGAGAGAACATTGTGCCGGTACTTGCAAATGATTTGAATGGTTGCGCAGTGCTACAGCCTCTCTCCCCCTCCCACCCTGGTCCTTCGCAAGCCCTGCGTTCCCTTCGGCGCTCCCAGAGAATGCAGACAGCCTCCCCATGGCGGGGAGCCGCTCCGGCCAGCCTTGCCTGCCCCGGGACCGTGCCCGGGAGTGAGTCATCCCATTTCGGCAGGAATGGTGGCAGCGTGCGGGGTTGCTCTGTGTCTTGCTCGCCGTGCAAGAACGGCGAAATGGATTTATGAGCACCCGTGGGATTTCGGCTGGGGC